GATGAAATGATCTTTAGCTAAATTGTAATATAATTTATATAGTTCCATAATAGAAGTAAATATCTTTGGGTCTCGTCTATAAAATTCTTTATAGTTATCTTTGATTTTATGATATTTTTTTTCATTGGGGAATATTGTCATAGCTAACTTTAATATATATTCTTCTGGGTCTTCTGCTTGACATAATTTTATAATTCGCTCTTTATAACTTTGTTGTTCTGTAGATGATTCATTAACAGTCTCATCATAATCTTCCACATCTTTAATATTACTATCGTCATCTTCATGCATACTATTACTTACATCTTGAAACTTGATCAGGTTATTTTCTGTGTTACAATTGTCATCATTTAAAACTAATGATGAGTTGGCTTTTGCAAGATCTGATATTCTATAAAATGTTGTACTACATGTATAATCTATTGTCTCTATAAAAGTTTTAAGAAAATTTTTCTCTTCCGGATTTAGGCGATATTGTGAATAGAGAACCTGTGATCAGTTACACTCAATGCATTTAACTAAAACGCACATATTTGCTGCATATTGTACCTGGGGACTAAAACCCATACCATTAATACCAAAACTATTAGTAGTCGTGAAAGTTGATGATAATTTAGATGCATTGGCTTTCTGAAGCAAAGATGGATAGTATTTTTCAGTAGTATCTTTGCCATATATTTCATAAAATAGCATATAATGGTCTTCGTTTGCTTTAGGAATAGGGTCGGAAAAGGATCACAACTTTGAAACACATCAGGATTACTCTGTGGTAGTTTACAGATCACACAACCAGTTTCAGCTTCTTGGTACTTTCTGATTTCAAAAAAATAGGTTCTTGAATGACAACAATGACTCATAAACTCAAGAATATGAGACTATAAATATTTTTATGCATGCTACTTATAAGTGTACAAGCTTTTTTTCTTTTTTTTTTTTTTTTTATACAAAGTTGAAACTGACCTTATTTTTAATATGTTTCTTAGATGTGTCTTCAGGTACCAATAAATCATCCACTTCAAGTACTAGCTCCCACAAACTTTCCATGTCTTGTTCAGTTGCAGATTCAAATACAGAAAAATTTTCTCCTTTAAGTTCCAGTCGTTTAAAAATATCTTGCATTATAGTTTTAGTAGATTTCAAACTTTCATTACTTCTCTTTTAAGCTGAGGTGTTTTTTTTAGCTTTATTACGAATTTTCTCTATCGTGTTATAGCTCTTCATTAAAATTTCTAATTCTTCAGTCATTTCAGTTCTCATAAGGCCAATGTACTGCAATCCAAGATTTAAAATAGACATAACTTGCTCAATAGGGTTTTTTCATGAATATCCTGGAGGTGTTCGAACAGCGACTAAAAAGTCAAGATCAAGGGCCAAGAAAATTGCAATTAATGCAAGTTGTACGCGAAGAAAGTTTACTTGGTGATCTGGCCTACCATCAGTGTATATAAAGAGATAAGGCTTGTTATTGTCAGAACTTTCTAAAATATTATGCAATTCTGTGATATGTCGTATTGGACTTGATGGTTCAAATATGCAATCTTTCAATTTAACATAAACTTTTCCAGTATAGAATGACTCTTCGATTGTCTTGGGTATATTGCACAACATCGTAACACTTGGGATAATTCCACATTTTGTGAAGTCATGATCACCTACAGCAAATATTGCGTTGTGATTAACAAGCACTCGTTTTTCTCGTTCTACAGCTGCAACCGGATGCCCTGACTCACCAATTTTATAGCGATATTTATCGTCTATAAAAACAAGCTGGGCCTCGTCCCGAAATATAATGGCTATTTTTTTCAAATATTTGAATAATGCTGATGTATAATGCAAATCAACGTATTCACAACGAAGTTGATGGATCTGGACCATAAATTTAACAGGTAAAATATCTGTATACTGCAAACTACTTTTATTTGTTAGAGTAGTTGGCCAAAATTGTAAGCAGAGCTACTGGGTTGATGGAATTGGTGCTTGTAGATTAATTTTTCTCATTTCTTGCATTATCATATCATGAAGATCATGAACTGAAATAGCCTGTGCAAGGTGTACGATCGGGTTGTATCTTCTTTCATCAATGGCAACTACAGCTTCTTGTGCAGTACCCTCTAAAAAACTTTTGCCTACAGCCCAGAACTCATCATACTTGCCTGGTCTACCTTCATTAAGCTCTCTAAGATCGGTAATTATTTTTAGATCATTTAGCTCAAAAGCTAACTTAACACATTCGTCTATTTCTTTTTGATTCGCTGTTTCTGCAGCTGATGTGTCATTAGTCAATTCCTTGTATATGTATCTCAGCTTTGCCTTCGGCTATTTATTTAGTTGAAGCTTACATATGTCTATATATTCTCTATACATACGGCATATATGATAAGTTGGAAAATTTTTTTTAATTTCTGTTCGAATTCTATAATGTTTATTTGAAATTTCTTTTTCTGCTATATTTTCATTTATATACCAGATATATGTTGCATTATATGCATTGCTATGATGATAAGTATATATTCTGACTTTAAATGTGAATCCAGTATCTAAATTCGTTATATATCAGTGCTTCTGCCTATTTATTGTATTTAGAATGAGAGTTTTAAAAAAATTATTTATTTTTTTTTTTAAATAACTTATAGGTGCTTACATACGTGATATCGAAGAGCAGAAGTTATTAACTAAAATTGGTTGCCAATATTTTTTTTCTTGTAGGGCTAATGAAAGGTTTTTGTATTTTATAATATTATCTGATGTACATTTTACATTTGTTAATAAGATTTCTAGCTGGCTATTATTATATTCATTAACTATAGGATAATCAAGTTCTTGATTTTGAGGCGTTTCTGCACGTTTGTAAATGAGATACTTAGTATATTTGGAAAGATCTTCATCTAGCTTCATTACTAGCTCTTTAAAAAACCTTGAAAATGGTAATCTTGATATCCATAGACGGGTAATGTATTTAAGAAGGCAATCACTATATTCATTAAGCTCTTTGGAATTAAATCTAGAGCAAGCATATTTATAGTCTTGTGGATTGTTGTATCCTATGAAACTCTCAAAAACTTTTGGTAAGTTGTATCGTTGGGTAAATGTATTATGGTTATAGCCATCTATATACCATAGTGTGTTTGTTAAATCTTGGATGAATGGCTTTCTGATTGTCTCAGCTACGTTAGGTCCTATCCAACTGCTATTTTTTTTTTTAATCCACGTTATTATATCATTCCATAGTTGTTCTTTTTTATTTGGTTTGATGCTAAGTTTCCATTTTGAAAGTGTAGAAGAATTTTGAGTATTAAATATAATATCAAAGGGGTTGGTGTGCTGATAAATTGGTGAAGTTATTTGAGACATAAGTAATCGAAAAACAAAGTGTTTTCTATATTCTATCGCTATTTTCCATAAATTATATTCAAGATCAACATTATGATTAACAGAGACTTTTGAACTCCCACATCGAACTTCAATTTTTTTAACCAATGCCAAATTATCGCTTAATATATGCTTTTCAGCCAAATTCAAAAAAAATTGTTCAATTGTAACATAAGTTTCTACTGGTACTATTTTTCAACCAAATAGTATTTTAGACTCTTGAATAATTTGTATATTTATTGCTAGCATAGTGTACAAAAAAGAATCATATAGTAGGAATCTTTTAGGGGTTCTGGCACATTTTTTCACACCAGTATCAATCTTGTATACAAATTTGCATTTGCGTCATCAGTTTAATAAAAATTATCTAGAACATATTTATTTACCCAAATTCATATCAAAAAGGATAATATTTTGTAATAGTG